TCTCTCTCTCTCTCTCTCTCTCTCTCTCTCTCTCTCTCTCTCTCTCTCTCTCTCTCTCTCTCTCACACACACACACACACACACACAGAAAAACACACAAAAGTAGCACGTGCACTATGTGGCGATGACTTTTTCAGCCTCGCATTTGACCGTTGTAGGGATCCCTGTGACAGTCGTCAACACCAACATCAACGGGTCGCAACTCGTTACCGGCGACGTCAACAAGTAAAACCTCCATCAGATGATCTGCTCCTCTCTTGCAGATTTCATGCACTGCTGTTCCGTTTACGGTTCCGCGGCAGCTTTGACGGAGTTTCCCTGTGGCGACGCTGATTTCCGTTAAACTTTCCCGAGTGCTATGTCCAACGTCCGTCCAGGTTCCACGTACCTGGTTTCTTGGTACATTGGTACCTTTTCCCTGGGCCCATCCGTCAGCGATGGAGTTTCTGCAGGGCGAGAAAAGGTACCTCCGCTAGAAAAGAGAGAGTGAAAAAAAGGAGCATTCCTCCCGCGTACTGGTAGGGCGAGATCCCGTTAGCAACGAGGATTGGATTCAGCTCCTGAATCTGGACGTGTTTGAAGCAGAGAGGCAGACAGGCAGTCCAATCTCGAAATATCTGCACCTGCCCACGAAAAAGTCTAGGTTCGGGCGTTCAATTCAATCCTCGTTGCTAGTAGGACCTCGCCTTTAGCCGTTGCTCTTCGGGATGTACGGGCCTCGCCACACGGCACACGAAACGAACAGAAAATTGAGTATATCTGGTCACCACTGTGGTCAGATACGTTCGTTATTATCCTCGCCCTTAGCCGTTGCTCTTCGGGATGTACGGGGGCCTCGCCACACGGCACACGGAACGAACAGAAAATGGAGTGCATCTGGCCTTAATTGTGCTCAGATGCGTTCGTTATTATCCATAGTAAACCGATGAACCTGAGGATCTTCTGTGGGAAGATGCACTCTTTTTTTTTTCCGTTTGGTGTGTCCTTTGTTTTTTTTTGTTTTTTTTCTTAAAGGCAGCCAAATATCGTATGATCCAGGCACTCCGGCGTGGTTCATACGACGGGTTTGGTGTGCCCTTTGCGGAGGCCCTTTGGTGAGAAACAATCAGCCTCAAAGAAAAAAGAAAAAAAAAGAAACAATCAGCTTTTGGGGAAAAACAACAAAAAAAAAGAAACAACCAGCCCAGAGGCCTGTATTCCCCCGCGCACAACCCCCCACTATAAGGGCCTGGTTGCAGTACTCGCCATCCGCCAACATTTTGCATGCATCTGAACACGAAGAAGTCCAGATACATTCAAAATATTGGTGGATGGCGAGTAGTGCAACTAGGCCCCAATACCCATATATGGTATGCATTCAGCTAAATACAGACAGGCTGAGACAGGCTGGAATCACCGAGGGCGAGGTCCCCCCAGCAAACAGAACAGAATTGGATTTATCTCCTGAATATGGACGCTTTTAGGGAGAGGCGCAGAAAATCGCTATAGAAACTGTTTTTCTGTATCTTTGGTTAAAACACGTCCAGATTCAGGAGTTCAAGCCAACCCAACGTCCCTTATAATGATTAATGATACAATAAATATAATATAAAAGCAGCCGGGGTCCTCACAGTCTACCCGGAAAGAAAGTGGTACCTAGAGCATTACTCGGGGCAAGGTCTCACTTGCACGGATTAAGAGATTCTGGCCGTTGATCATTGCTATCTACGGTCAGTATCGCTTAATTTTTGTAAGTGGGACATAGCCCCCGGACTGGCGTCAACGGAAGGGCGGCCTCCTATAAATCGAATCGGCGGCCAGTCTTCTTTTTTTAAGGGGCCCCAGTGCCCAGGGCTCCAATTATGAATTTAAATAGAAAGAGAACACACTCCTCTTCCCATTAGGGCTGGAAGAGGGGATAATTGGTAGAAAGAGCCCACGCCAAAACCTTTTCGGTTTTGGCCGCCCAAAGTTCGGCCGTTTGGTACTACCGGCCCAAACAACTTTCCCCTGGCTGAAAGGCGCCTTCGGGCCGTGGCCACATCTCCCTGGGCCTGTTTTTACCGGTTGAAGAATTTGGCGCTGTTTCTGCGCCAGATTCATGAACCGGTAGGGCCCTTTTTTTTCAAAATCGCGTACGTGGGCCTCATTCGATACTTCAGCGTTACCACCCCCGGCCGCTTTTACATCAAAATGAATCTGGCGCTTTTATGCGCCAGATTCATGATCCGGTAGGACCCTTGGAGCGACGCGTGGGCCTGTAGTATCCCACATGCAAGTCATTGGGCCGGTAGTACCAAACGGCTAAACTTTGGGCAGCCAAAACCGAAAAGGTTTTGGCGTGGGCTCCCTCTACTGATTATCCCCTGGAAGAGCCTCAGCCTCTGCTTCCATAGCGACAGCTTCCCTATGCAGCATGAATATAGCACGAGCAAGGGCATTGATTGCTTCCCCAGGGCTAGGTCCCACTTACACGAATTACGAGATATTGACCGTAGATAACATAGATCAACGGTCACGATCTCGTAATCTGTGCAAGTGGGACCTTGCCCCCAGTAAGGAAGGATTAACCCCTCTCTGTGCAGCATCAAACTTCGCCCCGCTCAACTTATTTCCCGCTACGTAGAGCATTCACGAGAAGTGGAGGGAGATCATAGCGGGGGAAAGAGGGTCTGGCATAGTAAAAAATCTCAGTCAAACCCTAAGTACTTCATCTGTAACCGTAATTACGACCAGACAAGTGTCTCCCTAGTGCAACACTAATTAACACTAACCCAATCAAAGGGGCAGAACACAAATCACAAGAAAATTTGAAACTGTGTTTACAAGTTCTCTTACAGAATCATGCCAAAGCACACGTATGCGTGACCACATGGCCATGAGTAATAGGCCGACCCCAAGCAGAAACAGCCAAAAGCCAGCAGGACATGTGCCTCCCTTCAGCAAAGTCAATCAACAATCTCGGAGGGAGAACGCTAATTAGGCAGGAGCATCAAATCCGATATAAGTGCATCACCAATTGAAAGCATGCCCCCAACATAGAAAACAAAAGAGGAGGTAGCAAGATAGGGTTCAATCAATCCTGTTCCCACACTCTCCTCACTAAGACCACGTCATACACCTCCCCATCTCCCCCTCCACCCCACGGGAACGACCCCTCCCCTTCTCGCCCGCCGTGCCTCTTCCCGCCACCACATCGAACTAGTTTCATCCACTTCTGTTTGGAAGGCGCAACAAAAGATCCGAGAAACACAGCACCACCGCCCGTGAGGAGCCCTCGCCTGTCCCCTGGTCCCATCCGTAGCACAATTTCAAAAACACTTGAACCAACCCCGCGTGTAGGGAGAGCCTGCGAACACGGTGTCACACTTACCGTGGTTGATGTGAAAGGTGTAGTTGACCTCCTAGTCGTCATGGTCATTGTCAGCAAAGTCGAGGACATAGATGATTTAATTGTGACTGTAGACGTTGTTGTTGTTGTTCACAGCAGCGTTGTAGATGTCGTCGTCGTTAACGCTGTTGATGTTGTTGGGATCAAAGATGTAGAGTTGTTTGTGACAGTATTTATTGTTTTTGTTGACAGTGGTGTTGTAGTTTTAGTTGTCATCATATTTGTTGATGTTGTTGAGCTTGTTGTTGTTGTTGTTGTTGTTGTTGTATGTGCCGTTGACATGGAGGATGCTATTGCATATTGCTGCTGACTTCCCATGGCAGTGCAAACAAATGATGATGACATCGTTGTCCACGGTGAAGGAGCGATGACGTCAACCTCCAACTGGTCTTCAATGGCCAACGTCTCGCTCATCACCTTGCAGTTTTCTAGGCCTTTATCAAAACTCATATTGCAGTTGGTTATGATAGCCTCAGCCCACTGGCAATCAACATGTATATCCAACGTTGGATGCTCCGAAATCTGTCAAAGGGTAGTTTCCAGTTGTCAAGCCATGTCCGCCAACCATATGGCCGTTGTTGACCCCCCCCCAATTCGTGACCAGTCTTGATTTTCGGGCCGGTGAGAGAAAACAGGAATAGACGAGGAGGGGAGAGGGAGAGTATCTGACAAGGACCAATCAATGGTTGACCCTCTCAGCGGGTGGTACCGTTGTGACGCTGTCGTGTGTCATAGTGGGATGGTCTCACAGGAGGTCTGAGTAGAGAGGCTTACCTTTTTTTGAGAGGATTGCCCATTGAAAAGGGGCAGACTATTTCTTATTGAATTGATGTGAAGCTACTTCTGTCAAAATAGCATTATACTTGGTTCTAATCCAGTCTGCACGGGAGTCGATATTTGTGGCGAGAAACCTTATGTCCCTCCTGGCCAACCATAAATACCGAAAGGCTCTTGCTCTAACACAAGAGAGACTTTTTCTCTGTGTTGATCTTGGAATCAATGATCTACCCTACTTGTGAAA